CTTGGAGGTAAAGGTGAACGTGACCCACCTGGCAGGATCCGAATTTTGGATACATTTGGCTTTGGGTGCTTTTGGGCAAGGCTTCAAGGTCGAGATCTGGGAATGGGGTTTGGAGCTTGGTGCTGAATCTTTGCTTCGGTCCGACCTCGGAGAGTGCATTGTTGATGGGCAAGTAGACCTGGCGGATGTACAGCTGCACATGGTTCCACGGTGCGACCCGATCATACATAAGCCTTCTCCATTCAAAAGCCGTGTGGTGCAAGGTGTGGTTCTCTCAAGTGGTCCTGCCTGCCTGAACCCTGAAGATGCTCCAAGCCTCTCGTATTGAAACGACGAAAAACTCGCAAACCCGAACCAAGCACTCCCCTTACCCCACCCCCCCACCAACGCCCGAAAAGCAAAAAACAAATTCAATGTCAAAGAAGAACTCCACACCTAATCCGGAGCGCGTGCCCAGACCCAGGCTCCCAACCTGACTCTGGTCCTTCAGTGCCACGTGCCCGTCGGCAATGAAAGTGCCGGGCTCGTTCCCGGTGACTGTGGACTCAATCCTTGTCACGTCACGGGGTGGCGAAACTGCAAGATGGCATGGTCAGGTGACTTGCCCCTTCACAACTCGCGGTAAGGCTATTCGTGCAGTGGAAACCCCAAAATGTTGGAAATTTGTCTGCTGAGAATCTGCGCCTCCCCTGCAGCCACGACCCCGGCGTTGAAGTCCACCTGCTCGCCCAAGTTAATCGATTTGCAACTGCCGCGGACAGCACTAATGAAGCGCTACCAGCTGAAGGCAGTTGTTGCCCGGCTACTGAGTGGTTCTAGCTCCCAACATACCGGGTGCGACATTTTAGGGAAGGTTGTGTTATTCGAGGTTTTGTGCCTCTCGCCCAGGCAAGCCGCAAGGCCAGCAAGCGCTAGCAAAAAGACAACCAGAGGTACAAGCCGCTGTGCCGTTTCAGTGCCGTTGAGGTGGCTTGAGTCAAGTACTTCGGGGTCAGACGTTCAAAGTCCTACAACAAAGCAAACTTCTTGCGCCCAACAGAATTTCAAAACATAATAGGCAAGAGTTCCCATATGGATCCAGGGCCTTGGGGCTGAAGCCCAGCGTATCCTCCAGGGTGTCAAGGAAGCCCCGGCGGCTCACAACGTTGCTGACCTGGTCTTTTGAGACGAGGGCTCGGGTAAGAAACTCTTCGGAAATTTGCTTCTTGGGCCTCTCTTGAGCTCTAGCAGGCCTTCTTTCAAGCCTTCGCAGCATTGCAGGCCTTTCGGGGCACTGTTCATTATCAGGATGGCCTTGCTTGGAGTGCCGAATTTTCGCGATTTATCATACATGGTTCAATGGGCCTGGTTCGGTGTGGTCAGACTACTTAAACCAGCACAGTAGCCCAGTGGTCACAGTAGGCCGCTAAACTCGTGGGGTCAAAGGTGGCGGGGACCTTCTCGATGCCGGGCAACCTTGTCGGCATTGGTGCTTGAGGTGTTTGGGGGAGTGGACTCCTGGACTCCTGAACTGGGCCTGAGTTTGCTTGGAAGATGTGCTTTCCTTCCTGGCTCTTGCGTTGCTCCTTCGTGCGGCGAAAGTCAAGCACAGCACGCTCGTCGTGGCGAAAGCGGTGCGTGCTGCACCCTAGCATTGGTCTGTGTTGCTGTTTGGAACGAAATGCAATGTGCAAGGCTTTGTTTGTCTATATCCGACTGTCCAGATACAGTGTCTGCAGCTGAGGACATTGCTGGGCACGAGAGGACATAAGCAGTCACGGAGAAACTGAGAGCTATGTGCTGGGAGACGTGCAGCAATAGATTTTCTACAACAGTGCGTGCGACGACTGATTGTTGAGCTTTTGTAAACAAGGCTCAAGACAAAATGAGAACCAGCTGGGTGCTAGGGCTTGCATGCGAGACCACTGACAACACATGCAACATGCGAAGCGTCTCACCTCGTTTCTCTCAGGCTTGGCTCCAATTTCAGCAACATAGTCCAGCATTGACCCAAGTAGCACCCAGTGGTCGGCGCTCTGCTCGGAGCTCTCTACAAACCTGTGCGGCTCACGGGTAGCAAGCACAAAACATCGGATCTTCATGAGGTTTGGTAGAGCCTCCCCATCCCGCCAGTCTGATAGCCTTGTGCCCCAACGAATAAAGCAAAAGAGCAAAAAAGCAAATGGCCCAAGGCCTGCCAAGTACAGGACAGCAACCGAAGTATGGTGCCGCAGTCTGCCTCACTGGTACCTTTCTCGCCCTGGTAGTACGCGAAAACTTCGAGAATCCGCACGCCAGGGTACTCCTCTTTGGTGGGGCCGGAGGGCACCAACGAGTTTGGTGTTGGAGATGTGTTAAGTGTTCGAGAGCCGATTCTAGGCATTGCTTTTTGCCCCCGAGACTGTTTCGGATTCTTCTGCAGTTCGTGGTGCGTGTTCTGTGAAGTTCTGTGAACCCCGGGTTGCGCCAGCCGCAGTGGTTTGAGGAATGATGAATCCGGCGCCTTGGGCATGCCTGGAAGGAGAAGTTTGGGGTGCTTCTCCGCATACTTGGCCACGATGCCATCCAGCTGTCCAGGGTTCACCTTTTGGGTTTTTGCCGAGTGCAGTTTGGCTTGGCTGCTTTGCTTTGCCTCGGTTTCACTCCCTTCCCCTTATCGAAAGAAGGCTTCTCATGACAAGGATTGACAAGGGGGCAAGTAACCAGAAACCATCTGCAACGTCAACGAAACAGCTGCCAACCCTCTGATAGATGATCGAGGGCCCTACGGCTCTACGTCTCGGAACCTGACTTCAGTTCCCCTCTCAACCTGCCTGGAAGCCGAGGACGGCCACGCCCTGCCTGCCGGCCTGATGCTGGGAGAAGCGCTCCAGGTGCCAGGCCCCCAAATGGTCCACGTCCTGTCGCAATTTTCTTGCAAAAGCTACCAGTACTGCAGTTGCTACTCTCTCTCTCTCTCTCTCGTTGATTGTTGTTCGGTCTCCTTCTCCGTTTTCTGCCGCTTGGCTGCGGGGTGGCCGTCTGCAGAGGCAAAGTCGGCCATGCTCTTGTCCTACCAAAGGAAGCACACGACTTCTACTACAGGCTTAGGGGCTTGGATCGCGTCCCCGCGCTCCACGACGCTCGCTGCGTCTGTGCTGGAAGTGTCCAGAGTATGTCTAGATGCAACTTTATTTGAAGAGCTCTCTCCTTGTGCGCTGTAATCACAAACTTCACGCCCTCGTCGTCACTGCTGGTGATGGCAACCGAGCGCGTGTCTGCTGTCTCGCCATAGCCTGTGACCCGCCAGCCCAGGCCCACCAACATCTGTTCAACCACGTCTTGGTTGTGGCCGGTCCACCTCAAACTTGTTAAACTCAACTAGCTCAGACTGTTGCGGACTTCGGAACGGGCAACTGAAGAGCAAGTATCTAGGTGGACCTGGCACCTCTTCACACGTAACCTCGGTACGAGCTCTAGGAAAGGGTTGAGCAAGGATGAGCAAGGTCTCCAGATTCACACCACCCCAGCTGAAGCAAAGCCACTTGGCAGGATCTCTCTCGCCTGTAACCTCGGCAGCTTTGCTTGAACTGAACTCTCTGCGCTCTCAACCTTGTTGTTTAGATGCTTCTGCTGGGCAGAAGAAGCAAGTTCCCCCCCCCCCCCCGAAAGCCCGACACGTCGAAGTTGGGCTCCGATGGCAGGCTGCAGTTTGGAAGGGTCTCGCCGGAAAAGGCGGAAACACTTCAATCTTGGGTTAATATTTACGTTCATTTGCCGATTCTGGCCATTCTCTAGCTATCACACGAGTCGGGTAGCAGGAGTGCCATGGCTGGCGGCCAACGCCATCCAGGCCTCTCGCCCTTTTCCGACATCGTCCAGCGGCTTCTTGCTGAAGTCGTTCAGCTTCGCTTCGAGCTTCTTGTACCTTTCAAAGACGTTCGCCTTTGCACAATTTCGGGCAACTGCGCGCTGCGTCTCTACTGGCGCCCTGCAACCCCAGCGCCTTCGACCGGGTTTACCATCAGGCTCGGGGACTTGAACTCGGCTGCTATTGACTGTTCTAGGAGTTACATGTAACTTGGAGCTTTTGGAATTCCTTGGCCACTCCGTGCTAGGGCACTCCGTCAAGTCCTTCAGGGCGTCGCTGTAGATGTGCACGTGGGAAAAGCTGACAGACCTCAACAACGGGGCCAAACACAAGTTCCAAAGTCCTTATGGGGCCAGGACTTAGATGACGAGAAAGCTGGAGGTTATGAAGACGATAGTTGCCTGGTTCTATCAATGCCATGCCGGTCACAGCGACTGCGACGGAGCTCAAAACTGTACTGTCTTCTTCTGCATACTAGCTGCGACATGGCAGACACAGCCGGCGCACGCCGAGAGCTCGCCAACCGAGCAGCGACGTGAAGAGGCTGCTGTCGTACACCCAGAAACCTTGGGTTCTCTCGGCCTTGCTTCCATAAATCCGTCCGAATAGATGGCTGAACTGATGCGAAACGCGCAGAGGTTCCCTAGTCCGTATACAACCCTGAGCTCCCTGATGGCCTCCTGAAGCTGTGCTTCTACCAGAATCGGCAAGAGAGCCCCCCCACCGACTGCTGCACAGGGTTTGAAGTTGTTGCTTCGAATTTGTCGGGACGTTGTTCAATGTGCTCGGATGCCGAACATGCAGCGGCTGGGCGCTTCTGCTTCAAGGATGAGAACCGGTGAGAACTTGAAGGGTCCATGTATCCTCTCACTGACAGCCTCTCCCTCCTCTCACACTTCTACATCTCCTTGCCGGCTCGAAGGGCAATCGTTCAGCGGTGTGAAGCAGGAAAATCGAAGCCAGCGCCGAACACAACAAGCGGCTCTTTCCCATGTCGGGGCCGCCCCCAAATGGCTGCCAGCGTCGGGTTTTTGAGGTTGCCGTGACGGAAGGTCAGTGCACTGAAAGGAATGACAACCCTTGGTCACCTTCCAGCATGTCATGAAGAAAAAAAACCCATTGAACTCAAAGCTTGGACCCTGAAAGCTCAAATCCCACATTCTGGCGGCGCCTCGACCTGGTGCAAGGGGGTCAAAGCCCCCTCAAGAGAGCCAAGGACCTTGGCAAGGTCAGGTGCTGCCCAAAGCCCTGAAGGAAAGATGAGTTCGGTGCAAAGTGCTTGGCTAGCCGCTAGCGCTTATTGACCCAGCATCGGCGTACCCTTTTGTGTTGTACCCGGCAAAGACATGATGATTCTAGCCTTGTATCAGATCAGATGTTCGCGGTTGTACACGTCCCGTACCGTTACGCCACGGGACCAGTTGAGATAAGGATCTGAGCCTGTTTTTACGGCAGCCTAATTTTTTCTCCCGCATTTCGCAGGCCACCCCATAGGTATCAAGTGGCTCTCTTGTCTTTGTCTTGTCTTTCTTTCTTGTTTAAAGCGGTGGGTGGTGTCAAAGTCCAGTGTAGACGCTGACATGGCCAGGCTCACCGACAAAGAAGTTTCTGGAAGATCAACCAGCATTTTCCTTTTGAAAAAAAAGCAGGCATCAACACGCAAGGAGCATCAGTGGTCTAGTGGCAGACATCGTTGCCATCGATGTGGCCTTTTTACCTTCGCTGCTCGAAGTATCCGAGGCTTGTTGGATGAGCTCGCCGACGCGGGGTTCTGTGTGGATGTGTGGAACATCCTAGGACATGGACGCCTGGGACCCCCAAGAATGTCTCGGACCTCGGTTTCTTGAGAAGGCAAAGCAGCATGTCCCTCCTCTACCTAGAGGTGAAAGGTCGCCTTGAAGAGAGATGCACACTAGAAGATCCAAGTCAGTACTCTGCACTAGTACAAGATCGACCACAACAAGGACCAGGAGAATGAAATGTCATCCAACGGCAGACTTGCAACATCAGCTTACCAAGCTGGAAAACGGCCCCTGCGACTCCAACAGTTCGTGGACGCGGACTACATGTTCCGGAAATGACAACCCGGCACCGCATTGGGGACTCACTCGCAGCATTTTGCCGCTTTAAAACAACTGAGGCCGCCGTTGATGAGGTCACTCCCAAGACTTTCTCAAATGGCGACCACCACGCAAACGCATCCCAACGAAGCAATGTGTGATGGTGGAAGCTGCCAGCAAAAAACAGTCTTTGACCACTTTTAAAGTGCAAGCAAAAGACCCTGATCTTGACTGACGAGCATGTTTGTTTCAGCTACAAACCGTCCCCGCCTTAGTACCTCGACCTGCGACTTAGCACCGTGCCCTGCAGGTTCACAGTCGTATGGGGTTTGGGTCGTGGGAGGTTCAGCGGCAGATGTTTGCCGGCCCATCTGATCATGTAGGCTGTGTAGTGCATGGCGCAACGCCGGCAGGGTTTTGGCATCTGAGGCATGTCCACGTCAGCTTGGGCCAGGCGGCAATCAGATTGGAGTCCTGGGGTGCACCAGGGGCTTGCTGGGTTGTGTGAACAGGTTTAGGCTGCACTTAACAGAGGTCTCCGGCGCCGTTTGCTGTCGGGAGTGTGCGGGAGGGGGGGGGGGTTGGTAGGAACAAGGAGGGGATGGCCAGGCGCAGGCTCTTTTCCTGGTTGGGCAGGTACGGGTAAGGGACTACTTCTTGGCTCTGTTCCTGAACCTCAGTCGGGTTAAAGAGGGGGCCGTCGAGCATGTCGGTACAGGGAGCTCAGTGCCGCCACAGGCATCTCTCCAGAAGCAGGTCATCGGTTCTCGATGACTGCCCGATACGTCCAGGAAGCCCATCAGAGCCCATCACTTCCCACAGTCTGCAGCCTTGCCACCCTCAAGGGTCGGGATCTTACGCGCCGAGAAAGACGAGATTGGGGAGGGACAGCAGGAGCAGGTGAGGCACCCAGAGCAGCGAGCTAACCGTTGTGAGCCTCGAGCCGCTTTGTCAGGGCTGATATGGTTTAGGGAATTTAAGGAGCCGCTGAACCGAACCGACCCAGAACCGATGTGAGGGGTTTGGAGTGTATGTGTCACGAATGTGGCCGGACTCAACTTTGCACCCAGTAAGACCCAAAACTCTTGGTGCAGGAGTTTTCGACTAGCTCAGCGCCGCACCAACAAGGGAAAGCCAACGGCATTCAAGTAGGTGTTCCAGTCGGAACAGTTCAACAATGCCTCGCGAAAGGCAATGGATATCTGGCTGTCTGGCCCTCATAGCTCAGAAAAAGACACTGTCCTCGTTGCTAAGTCTAGAGCCAAGCAGATGCATGATTCAACTGCCAGCGTGCGCCTTTTGCTGTCTTTTGTCGCCCATGTGTCATTGGGCTCAATGCCCTGCCTTCGCACTGCCTCTGATTTCTGGGCTTGGGAACCGGGGGAACCCGCTCGTAAGTTCTGCAGAGCCCGACGGAGAGTCAAAAAACTTTGCCCTGGCAAAAGGCTCCTCACTTCTGGCTCGCCTCGAACCTGAGGTGTTGGAGGTGTTGGACTTGTGCAGCTTACTCGGTCTACTCACATTTTGCTGGATCCCTAAACATTTCTGAGTTTAGGGATTCTTGGTCTGGAGGGATTTGGCACTCAGCTCAGAGGATCGAGGTTATTCATACATCCTGTTCAAGAGCCAGGGAGCTTTGTCCGTTCCGACTGCAAGTAGAGAATGATCAGGATGGCGCAGGGCACGACCAGGGTCACAATGTTGGCCCACCAGCCTGGCGTGGACACCTCCAGCGCAGTGGAGACGGAGGACTGCAGCTCCAAGGAATCCAAGCCCGCCGGCACCGCTGCACGCGCAGTGCGGGGCACAATGCGACTGCCCAGAAGCCCGGAGACAAAGGCAGGCGCGGCGAGGGCAAAGCAAGCCAGGAGGGCCAAGGAAAGAAGCTTGGAGGCCATCTCTCTCTGGAAACGGGGGCTTTGTGTTCAGCCTTCTTTTTTGCTTTCTTTCCGGGGGCTTGGGCCTGAAGCTGCCTGGAACAATGGAAGCAAATGGAAGCTTTGGGTCATGCGGGTCATGCGGGCACCATTCAACAAGCACACTGACAACAACGCAGGCGCTTGGCAAGATTGGGCTTCAGGATCACTTCTACGGCTGTTGAGCCGGGACATTGTGTGGGAAGCACAGCTGGATCTGAAGTTGAGTCGTTAATGAAGCGTCGGACAATTAGCTATACTCAGCCGATCAACTTAGGTGCGTGCTCGCAGCGGCTGCAACTGCAAGTGGGATCGACCAGGGCGTGACCTCGGAACAAGCTGTGCCTACCCTCCGAGCACCTTTTTTTCCTCACCAACCCGCCCAAGCGTGATCCCGGAGTCCCCACAATTGTCCCTCTCAATCCTTCGAGTTTGGCTACCTGAGACATTCAGCCCGTTCGGGACACAGCGGGGGCACTCCCAACAACATCTGCAAAGCCGAGCTGGTTCGAAGGTCTTTTCCTTGAGCAATGCGTCTTTGAATGTTTGTGGTGGTCGCTTTCAAGTTTGAGAGGTCTAGGCTCTGGAGCTTGGGCTTCAGGCTTTCAAGGTTAAAAGATGTTAGAAGGTTGGGAGTTTCAAGCTTAAAGGATTGCGGATTGGGTGCGAACGCAAAAACAGGCTCGCAGAAGGGTGCTGCAGCTCGTTCAGCTCAGCCGAACAGGGAGCTTCCATGCAGCTACGCGTCTCCCAGTCATGGCAGAGATGGCAGAAGTCAGAAGCAACCGCTACTGTCCAGGCAGGGAAGCTCCATCAAGCTCCGAAAAGCTGGAAACCCCAAGCATCATGAAGTGGAGGAAGGGAGTCAGCATGAGGTGGAAGAGCCCATGGCTCCATCCTCCTATCCAGCTCACGCGATTGCCGATCCTTCACATGTCGGGTTTAGCTTAGGGCTCAGGGCTCAGGGTTTCTGCCGCAGGGTATTTGGGGCCAGGGGTGTTCTGGGAGTTTGGATGCTGGGCCGAGGTTGTGGATAGAAGCTCTCTGGGCAAGCTTTGCCCTGCTCGAAGTGTTGGCTTAGGCGGCCGAGGGGCAGGAAAAAGAAGCAAGCCCCAAGCCAGCTAGCCATCACAGCCGCGTAGTGGAAACTGTCGCCGCGCAGGAGCAGGGGCAGCGTATACAGGAACACGCAGGCCGTCACCCTCATGTTTTCGTCCAGGCTGCCAGGTCTTCGCAGGATGAGGCGCCGGGCCTTGCGACTCAGATGGGTTTGGTGTTGGTCTGGGGAGTGTAGCGTTGGAGAGTTCTTGGACCTTGAACTCAGAAAGAGGAAAGAGTCATTCGAGTCAGTTCGTTTGGATTCTTTTTTCCAAGTCTTGAAGGCCAAGGCGCGAGCAGGAAAATGCACGACAGGTTCACGAGCACCATGGGTAGGGTAAAGAACCAACTCCCTTGGCTCAGCGCCCAGGCAAAGGCAATCGCGGCCAGGTGGATCGCGGTCATGTCCATGGTGCGGAAAGGAGTACCTTCTTTCTTACCGTGATCACAAAATAATGCACATGCTTCGCTCTATGACTCTATGGCCGGATCCTGCTCCGCTTCGGCTTAAGGATGAAGATCGCCATCGTTCAAGTCGCTAGATGGATAATGACATCTAGTTGACTACTGTAAGGAAAGAGGTAGCGGATCGCAACACGGATCGCAACAGCTCTCCGTCCCTAAAGCTCCGAATTCACAAACATTCAGAGAGGATGCACATGGGGTCGAAATCGTCTCGTCTATCCAGCACTGCGCATGCGAGGTGGTAGGCCATGCTGAAGGGGCAATGCAGCATGGAACCGACCGCCAGCGCCCAAATGCCTTCCGGGAAAACTGACTTGGAGGCGAGTTCGGGCGCTGCGTGGTATGCATACAGGGACGGCGCCGCCATGGACAGAGCGCTGAAGACCTCCGGCCAAAATGCAGGACCGATCTCAAACTCGATGCCCTGCCAAAATGCCGAACCGATCGCAAGCTCCAGAATCGGCAGAAAATTTCCACGAGAAAGTGCACGAGATGCCTGGTCCAACTCCAGCAAAGCGGTTTAACTTTTTAAGTCGAACAGTCCCAACATGCGCAATGCACAAAGCAACAAAGGAGTTGCAAGTTTTGCTGCTGGCGCCTTCAAGGATGGTGATGAATCATCCTTCTGCAGGATCTTGCGAGTCCGGTCTGCTTTTCTGCGCATGGCCGGAAGATGCTGGAAGTTTGTCCGAGGCCAAGCAGGCCAAGCTGAGCCACTTGCGGCGCGGCTGCGCAGGCTTCGTCGAGGCTTTCGGGCTTTGGGAGGTTTTGTGGGAGCCTTGCGGGAGCGTTGCAGGAGATCTGGATCTGGAATTCAACCAAAGTTTACAGGCCCGGGACTCAGCCAGGTTCAGAGCGCGTGGTTGCAATTAAGCCTGGGCTGCACATGTCTGCACAGTCCCAGATTGAGATCCTTGAACTCGGCCCTTCCAACCCAGTCGGTTCCTGTGCTCGGTAAGCGAAGCACGAAGCACCCCCCCTCCCACCCCTTTTTGCACAGGCCCCTAAACCCCTAAACCCCTGAAGGACGCGGCCGCCAAAGTGCGAAGCGTTGCCTGGCCGGCAGGTCCTGACTGACCACTGCAGCTAAGGGCACCGTAAGGGTTGCAGCACGGCTTGTGGCTCTAAATCGGCTCTACCAATGATTCTCAAGATCTCAAATCAAAGTGAATCCATTGGACCTGCACAAGCCACAGCACCCTCGGAACCCATCTGAACCTTCATCCTGCGACCCTGAAAATGAACGTGGGGGCGCCCTTGCCTACGGCTCTTCTTGGTCTTGGTTAGTCTTCCATTTTTGTCCCCCGGGCAATTCACAAGCGAGGTTCCAGCGTCGAGTAGAGGGGGGAAGCTGGCTTGGCCAAAGCATGACCCCCCTTCACTTCTGGCTTCAGTTTTCAATGGTTCAACGTGGCAGCATGTGGCAGCTTTGAAATCGGCTACTGCCTGTGGAAGGACTGGCCGGGGCACAGCACCAAGCAGCAGTCATCGCAGATCCTCACAGGCGCCACATAGCCGAGGATGGACAGTGGCAGGCGCTGGAGGCTGCATGTGTTGCACAGCAGGCGGCCGCATGCACGGCAATGATGCCGCCGGCGCACACAGGAGAAGGTGATCGAACAGGACTGGCAGCAAACGCCGCTGTTGCATACCCACGCGGGAGCCACTAAACTCCCGAAGGAGGTACCGCGGCTTGAAAAGGAGGTACCTTGAGGGTCTGCCTTCGGAGTGGAATCCAGGGACAAAGTCTCCAGTGCAAGCGGCGGCAGGGCCAGCAGTGCTTTCATGAAGGCTTTCTGATCCAAGTCACAATCCTTCACGATGTCTTCAGAGATTGCCCAAGCGCGCTCGCCGTCCTCCTCCTGGATCGCTTGGGCCAGTGCGGCGAACTCCGCTTGAGAAATGCCTCTCCCATCCTCAGTTCTTGGGAGCCCTTCAGCCGTCAAGCCTTCAAAACCTCGAATCTCAAATGAGGAAATACAGGTAAAGTCCCGGTAAAGCAAAACACTCTTATTCAACCGCGCGAGAAGCATCTATCTGATCCAGGTCGGCCCCTTCTTTCCTCTGACCCAGCATTGCCAACAGAGTGGCTACGCGCTCGCTGGGCGTATCCCCCAGAAGAAGGGCCAGGCTGATTAGGCCATGCTTTTGGAGTATCTGACCTGTCTTGGCCGCATCCAGATCCGAGAACACTGCCTCTGCTGGTTCCAAGTCCGCAAAAGCTCACTTTGCCGGCCCTCTCAAAGTCCAACATACCGAAAAGGCCGGCACATACCGTAACAATAGCCATTCAGATAACCCGGTCATAAACCCCCCCAAAACCCCAAGCCGCCCAGCGATCAGCGAAGCTGCGGAAAAGAAGGCGGAAGCCGAGGCATCGTCTGTTCGGGTCATGGCTCGCAGTTGGTCTACAAACTCGGCCTCCGTGACCTGCACGTCGGCCCCTTCGGCGACCTGTTTCTGGATGCTTTCGGATCTTGGGTGGACATAGGTGGAGATGCTGCTTTGCGGATCCCTGCGCAAGGCCTCTGCGCAGAGGGCCCGAACTTCTGCCAGCAGCTGGGGCACCTATCGGGACCAACCCTGCGACCCTTGAAACGCAAAGCTGGAAAGATCTCAGACTTCCGGCTTTGTGGCCGCCTTCGGGGTTTCGGCTTTCAATTGGTGTAGGGTGTAGGGCGTGCAGCGAAGCCGAGGTTTGCGCAGATGTTACTGCGGCTTGAGGGCTTGCAGGCAGTCCATCCCTATATTTGTACGAGAGAAGCTCACAGAACAATGGGGGCCCGTGGCAGAACACTCCTTTCTTGGAGTGGCGCAGGAATGTTTTGGGGTGTCTAGTAGTTGGTCGCCAACTTTTGTTCACAACTGCAATCCGAGTTCAGATAAGCACACAGCATATCACAACATACTGCAGAACTTGGCAAACCTGGCATCAACCTAGTCGATGGGCACCTCACCACCTGCTTGTCGCCGAAAGCCTGGGAGATGAAGTATTTAGGAATGGTCTTGAGGTCTTGTCCCAAAGTCGTTTCGGTACTCGGGGTTCGCAGCTGTGAGTCTTTGAGTAGTTTAAAGAGAGGTTTCGAATCCCGATCTGAGGGCTGTGACTGAGCCCGCCCAACTTGTGGATGGAGAAATGAGCTCATTTACATGTAGGAACTTTATAGCCAGGCCAGACTGACTGTCACGTGCCGAAATCCGCTGTGTATTTGTCCTGGTGTGTTCAACCCTGCATGCTTGCCTCATCAACGTGAGGACCGCATACGCTGCGGCCGCGACTGAAAAAGACCGGCGCCCGTACGATCCCCACTCCCCACTCCCCCACCCTCCCAGGTTTTCAGCCTAAACACCGCCATAACCCTCAAAAAATCTCAAGATCCACTGAAGCCAAGCCACGGGCGGCTGCGCTCCGGCTCCGCCTTGCACGGGCCTCGGCCGCCCGCTGGCGCACGCGGTCCTTCCAAACCCAAAGTGGCAAGTGCTGAAGCTGCTCTGCCGGCTCTTCCACACTCTGACGAGCGGGGTGCCCGCGGTCGGCACGGTCAGAACATGTCAAACGCGTCTTGGAGCAGAGTAACCATGCAGGCTTGCCATGTGCATGCAGGGCAGACACATGATTTTGCTAGCGTGCGTGCGCAGCGCTCTACTGGCTGTCGTGCATCGTCTGCAACGCGGCTTCACGGGCATCGTCGTGCTCACCACCATTTTGCCACTATTTTGTCGCCAAATGCTCGATAGGAACTTTTCATGCTGCCCGTGATGTGAAGGTGCTAAAAAAAATTCCTGGATGCCCCTGGACAGGCCCATGTTGTCCAGGAAGGTTTGCCAATCTCATGGAAAATCCTTGATCTTTTGCCACCATCGCTGGCGACCGAACTCTTGAGCGGTCCACCGCTGCATACGGCGAACAAACTGTGATGGGAAGGCATGGGCTTCGCCATGGGAAGAAAAGAAGCCATGATTAGCCGGGGCGCGCGCTGAGATCCTCTTGGAGTGCTCTCGCAATCCTCCTGGAATGCCCTTGAAGTGCTCTTGCCACAATTTGGGGGTCTCCATTGCTGCAGCGCGAAATAGCGCGAAGCAGCCTCTCCGTGAGGCCTATACTCCCAATACTAGAACTGGATGAATGCCCCGTGTTCTCAGCCCGTCCTCTGCGGCCTGGAGCGCTTCCTGCGGAAGGTCTCACAGCTTCAGGGCCGGTACGGCGGCGAAAACTCAAACCAAAGCTTCGTTCGATGCCCTGAAGTCCGCCCTTTCTACTTTTCTTGATGTGTTCTCGCCCAACTGGCTGTCGTTTTGGGTCCAGATGATGTTCTCACCTGAGTACGGGCTTGACTTTTTCATGGTTACAACGCGAACACTAGACGAAAACAAATTCTAATGTGAATGCTCATGCGACAACGAGTACTGATCAGAGTGTTATTACTAAGTCCTATCAGTAACATCCTAAACACTGATGACTAGTATGAATTACTAAATTGCTAAGTACAGATGATTCCTTACCCATAACTACTTGCTCATAAAGTACAAATGGCAATGGGTCGTTACGAACTGCTACTTGCGAAGTGCGAATACGAATTTCCAACCACTACTTACACTTACAAATTGCGAATAGCGAATTTCGAAGGACTTGCTTCTGAATATAAAACGAAACACCAACTGTTGCTAAAAGCCTAAAGCATTTGAAGTTGTGCAAGACATGTATTTGGAAATGTGGCTGGGAGAAAGAAACTCAAAAACGAAAAAACCAAACCAATGTGCCCAGAATACATGCACGCGAACAACCAAAAATCAAAATATTGGTCTGCTTGCTGGTTTCTGGTACATCGGAGTTTGGTTAAGCCAGCATATGTGAGCTCGGTGCGACGGTGCGCGATGGTGTGGTGTAGTGTAGTGATCGCGTCTCTGATGGCTGTGGTGCATGCGGTGTTCGTGTCTGTGATGTTGTGGTGTATGTGTATGTATGCGGTGCGCATGTGTGTGTGAGTGTGTGTGTGTGTGTGTCTGTATGTACTGTTCGTGTCTGTGTAATGTTTTTGGGATGTGGCGGACGGGAGCGGAGTGGCAGGAGGCAAAAACGGGAACCCCACATTAGTGATGCTGGGAAAAGGTATCCCCCCCCCCCAGAAAATAACCAACAAAAGCAAATCAGAAGGGGGGAGGCAGAAGAACTGGGGGAGGGGCTGCTTTTCGTTTGTGCAAGCCGAAAGGAATCAAAGGAACCACGAAATAAGCAAAAGAAGCGCCGCAGAAAGAACGCCCCAACATCCTTAAGCCCCCCCCCCCCCCCCCGAAAATCAGAACGGTGAGCTCCTTGATGGCCGAGTCAGGGACCGTCAATGCGGTGTACTCTGCTGTCGCCACCAAAGTTTTGGCATCGTAAGTGGCCTACGAACACGAAGGGCCCCAAGGGCTGATGGTTTGGGATGGTTTTAGGGGGGTTTCCACGGGTTTTCTGGTATTAGAAAATTGGCCATATTAGCCTCGGTGCGAGCCTCTAGATTTTCAGGCTTCGTGTGGTGCGTTGGGGTTTGGGCTCTGCAAAGCAAGGTGGTGTCTTTGTGCGCGCGCGCACCTGAAAACACTTCTGCAAGGCGCGAAGGAGCACCGAGACCTCCGGTGCTGCGGCATTCCTTGGCTGGAAACGTGGGAAACGTCGGGAACCTGAGAAACCGAAGTTTTGTCACCGCAAGGTTCTTTCTCAAACGACCGCACCTCGAGGAAAGAGACTTGAGATCCACTTCCAAAACGAAGGCCGCCAGGATCCTCAAGGGGGCGCTGCAAAACAAACATTCAAAACGTTGAGGGCTGGGAAAGTTGTGCAAGCAGGTCTAGAAACAAGTGTCCTCAGCATCAGGAGGCGCGGGGACGGGGCAGCCAGAACCTGACTTTCTTGACCCTGCGGAAACAACTGCACTCCCTTGAGTTGCGTCGCAGCGTATCCACAATGGTTGTAGCAAAGCAAAGAAAGGTTCCAATTGCAAGCACCTCTGACACAAGCATGTTCGTGACGGGGACCCTAGTCACCCTAGTCATCACAGTTGTAGCCGTGTTGTATCAGCCAGTACA